GTTGGTATACCGTACGGTATACATAATAGTATACCTGTATAAGCGGTAGAACCGGCAATAACATTATACAGAAGATTTTGCTCGTTGAATAATAGTCAATTGGGTACCTACCTACTTGTTTGTTATCGTCCAGTTACTAAATATAGGCAATATTGTAGGCTAGACATTTTGAAATTTTGAAATTTATATAAAATTCAATACCTACTTTCTTCATATATTATAAAGGATATGTCTCCACTCTCCGTGCTTCACATTGGCGTATTTAGGAGTTTTTCATGGAGGGCGTCAAACTAATTTTCCAAACACATTTAAGCGGAGCTGGGGGGGGTCTACGCTACAGAACATATTAATATATATATTATGTATCTATGGGGCCAATGGGGGGAGGGTCTGGACCCAGTCCGTTCAGTTACATGTATTAGTAGCAGAACATAATCGATTATTTTTTCAATATATATATATATATATATATATATGTACACTTAAATTCAAATATAATTTTCTGGTACATTATGGCAAACAGCTTCTTAAGAATGAACCATTCATTTTAACCTCTACAATTAGATTTGAAGAAGAACATAAGACAGTAAGATCAATTGCAAATGCCGTATCTAAACTGTATTTAACATGAAAATAATATGTGTATTGAGTATTTAGTTGACATAATAATATGTAAGGTATACATTTAACATTGTGACTAGTGGACAGTAGTATAGTATATGAAAACATTAATTGTATATAATATTATTTTTAAATGTTTAAAGTACGTAAATAGAGTCACGGAATTATTCCATAAAAAGGAAATAAAGATGTTTTTCTATATATTATGCAACAGTTATATACCCCGATATTCTTTTAAATATGATCCATGCAATAATGTAGATGATAGTCGATAGGGTTAGGGCGTTAGGCAGGTAATCTCAAGTACTATAGGGTTTGAATCCTAGTAATGACTGTAGAAATTTGTGTGTACGGCGATATTATTTTTTACTTTTCTAAGATATTTTCAACATTACCTACATAAAGTAGTTTTAAGAACACCATTAGTTGCTTCAACATCTATACCAATAGTTAATTTAAAACTGCTGTAATGTCAGATTGAGTAAAGTAAATGCCATACTTACGTACTATTTAATTTGTTAGGATGTAAACAGAACTGTGTTTATCTTAAAATCATTTGATGTTATATTAACCACTAAGCATAACGAGTCTTACTGAAGCAATAAACAGTAATTATTTTAACTATTGCCTATGTGAAATCAACGCCAAACTCCTCCTAGCTCAAAATCCACACTCAACCGTGTACAACATTGACACCAACGAGTGTAGAATTAACTACAGATTTCTAACTGTGAAGCATACGTATATTATTATAATTTATAGTATACAGTATACACCACATACTGATTGTTGGGGTTAGGAAATAGGAGGGAATGGTAAGTACTCGGCACCAGGTATATGATATCCACGAGAGTGCTTTCCGAAACGCCCAAGGTTGTGTGTGTGTGTGTGTGTGTGTGTGGGTGTGTGTGTGTGTGTGTGTGTGTATGTGTGGGTTGTGTGTACACATTATAGCGTACACGCTGCGCCGTTACGTCTTGTTGTATAAAAGTTTAAGGAATGGCATTTTTTTTTACTCTGTTAAACCTCATATCCGTTTTCACGTGTGGTATTAAACGCCCAATACTTTTTTCACCCCGAGCTTTGTGTCTTATCGAGTTTGTACTCTACGTACATAATATATACCTACCCTAACCTATTCTATATATATATACCGTGCTAGGTAGTTATATTAAAACATTATATACTTATATTACGTATATTATTCGATCGATAAAAATAGGTATTATTTTCTAGATTAACCACACACATTTAGGTATAAAAAGCGTATCGTACATAGGTACCAATAAAATATACGTAATATTTCATTAGTGTTTTTACCAGCCAAGTGGCAAATATGTTTTTAACGCACCGTTTTTGCGTCCTCACAAAACATCGATAATCTAAAAGGAAAATCACAATCGTCGGATAATGTAAAACGATCGAATATCACTCAGAATATTATTTCAACTCTTCTAATCACTAATCGTGGGTCTAACAAGTATTTTAATCAGAAATTCGAATCCTCTATAATTTTTCTACTCACTGCTTATTCAAATAAATAGTAAAATTCTATCTACATGATCGATAATAAATCAAAATCTATTGGTTTCATTACACGAACTTGTACTAATTTTAACAATTTAAATGCCTTTAAAAGTATTTATTTTTCGTTTGTCAGATCTCAATTAGAATATGCATCCCTTATTTGGTCTTTAAATAACATAGGCTCATCATCTAGAAGCTGTTCAGAATCGTTTTCTTCGCTTTTTAGCATTTCAATTTAAAGTCGATCGTCCACGACATTCATATTATAATAGAATATTATCATATTTTAATATACAATCGCTAAATACAAGGAGAAGTATCCTTCATTATTAATTTTTATTAAAACTATTAAATACCTCAATAGATTGCCCTTATTTACTGGAACGATTAAATTTTCGAATTAATACAAAATCCACCAGAAATCAAGAAAGTTTTTTAATAAATAATGTTTCTAAAACATACTTAAAATCATCAAATACGAATATACTTATGTCTATAGGAAACACTATGGATATTAATTTTATTTAATAATTAATTATGGCTGTGCAATTATATACCTCATAATATGTTCTTTGTTATATAATTGAATGTGAATTTTATATTATTCGTACCTAATTCTATTGTATATTGTTATGTAAATGGAGTTTTTTCCGTCAATAAAGATAATAATTAATAATAATATTATTCACAATACAGGTAATTTAGCTAATATATATTTTTGTTTTTCTTGGTCCTGTTGTTATACCTACTCGATTTTTGCAATAGTTTGTGTTCTTTATTATTCAATATTCACTGAAATAACGTTGTCGATACACCTATATTATAATATATTCAAATTATTTGCATAAATAAAAACAAACCCTCGACCTATAACATATGTGCTGCCGGTTGCCCTAGTATTTTATCTTCTTGGTGGATACTTGCCTATTTTATTATGCTTTGTTGAAAATATTTGTTCGATAAATGTATATTGATTGCTGTAAACGAAGATAAAACAGTTTTTAAACTAGGTATTACATAATTTAATTGATTGCCCAGAACTTTTAGAGCGTATTAATTTCAATGTAAATATAAAAAATTCAAGAAATAAACATCCTTTTTATTTATCTATTATTAAAACTAACTACATTATGTTATACTACCCTGCTATTATATTAATGTCATGTGGTAACTTTTTTAACAACTTGGACCTGTTCAATATGACTCTTAGCTCGTTAAGTTGTCATTTTTAGATTATTACCTACTATTATATTAATTTTAATCGAATTGTTATATAATCAATTGTCTAACTTTTAATTTCTCTATATATACAATATACATATTATATTCTTTTTTTTCTCACTTTTTTTCTCTCGTTCTTATATCATTTGTTTAATTTTTTTAGTATAATACACACCTATGAAACTGTCATTATTTTTATTATTGTAAATTGGAATTTTATTCCGTTAATAAAATTATTATTATTATTATTATTATATGTATTATATATGAAGTAACTATATTATGTAAATAACGTATTTTCTTTGAGCACCGTTATAGGTTAAGTTTCAATTAAAACATCATTCAGTTAATGGCGGCGAATTTAAACATTAGCTTATTGAAAAGTATTTGAACGATATAGAATAATAAAGAATAGACACTTAAAACACAACGTGTCAACATGCTGCAGTGTTCTCTACATTAATATATTATAATAAATAGGTCATCCGTCAACACAATATCCTAAAATTAATATGCACAACTGCAAAATTATATATCTTATACATATACCGTAACTGTACCGTTGGTTTTAACATTTTATTAAATCAATATAGCCACTGCATAACTATACGGAAAAAACAAGTGACGATTTTACTACCTATATCATTATAAATAACACCCAATTAAACAGCGATTACGCATTCTACTGGTTGATGCTATCGTAAGCATTTAATAGAAAATTATAACGTTTTTATTTTTAAAAAATTTCCTCTACGGATACTGTAAATTATAATAATATTATATTCACAAAATTTAAAATAAATGTCACCAATAAATTAAGTTGTGAATGAGTACAAAATATCAATGTTGTCAATTGTCAAATGTAACACGTCAACATTATCGTTGAGTACTTGAGTATAGTTTGAAGATTGTTTAAAAGTTTTCATTATTTATCAAAATGCAATTCACTATGACCTAATGTGTTATTATAACTATATTATACGAATTGTTATCGATATTCTTTATAGACTTAAGCTGTACAATAGCTCTCATACCACTGTGCCACGTCCTATGTTAAGCGTGTCTAACAACAACAAAAAAACGAAAAGGTGAAATCAAAATGTAAGTCTGCGTTTCTTTTCCACGCACCCGAATAATGTAAATTTACATAATAATGGTATGCAATACATGTCATACACATTTATGCGCTTATGTTTATGCCATATTATACATATTTCGGACAAACCCATTGTTAAGGTCATGATTTTAGGGATATCAACCAGGGACTACGTATATAATATATATATATATATATATATTCATAGTATTCATGTAACATATAATACTTAGGATATATCATTTCAAATAAGAGACTTGGGAGTTAGGATAATATAATATTAGATGTATTAGGTATGTATACTTATCGCGAAAGAAAATATAACCGTTGGGTATTCAATCGATTCCATTTTATTAATAAAAATTTTTATGTACATAAAAAATTGAATTTTATAATATAGTTTAAGAAATATTTCACAGAAAATTCTCGACAAACCGTAAAATAACAAACATACTATGTATATGTAATTTACTTAACATTAAAAATAATTTATTTATAAAATAACAATATAGGTACAATTTGAGCAAAATGAATATTATAGTCGTAAATCGTTGACACATCCGTGGTTCATTCTGTACTCGATGTACAAAATGCCAGTGTTGTGCCAGTAATACAACGCTATCACGACCAGGAAATGCCACCACTGATGCGATGATCCTATGTAATCTAATTTACCTGAAAAGCAGAAAAATAAAATCATACAAATCGTTTTTATTTTACTGATAACAATTCAAAATACATTTTTCGAATATAGTTGAGGCATAGTTATGGGAACTGCGTAAAAAAAAAGTACCTTTATATTAAACATGATTATCGCCCAATATAATATAATAAATAAACGATATATGTATATTATTTTCTTATTTTTTTAGTAGCTTATGTCAAATATGTCATGTGTGTGATTTTTAACATAATAAGTATTATGTTTTGTTTATTATATATTTAAATAATGTATATATCATATAATATAATAATCAAGAATTTAGGGTTGTTTAGCTTTCGATTTCCGGATCAAACACGATATACTGAACTGCTAAAGCCAATCAAAAGTAATTGATCATTAAGTAAGTAATCATTAAATTTAAATTCTTCAATTTGAAACAGTAAACAGTGTTGGCATTTATAATGTTAGTTGTAATACTAGCCACTTGTTAATATTATGTCGTCCTATGAGTTACGACAAGATATGTAAGTAATATATTTTATATTATTATTTTTAATATTTTTATTGTTCAACTATTTGAACTTTTTCGTTATGATATTTATTTAGTCTTGAATACTATTATTGTTGACAGATCTTACAACCTTAAAAATAAATAGAATCCGATAATGGGGTGGAAATATTATTGTTATTGTTTTAAAAACGTTCGTGTCGAAATTCGATAACGAATATTTCGCCATTCAGAATTTCGCTAGAATTTGTTGTGCAAGAAACTTGAGAAATCATATTATGGAAGAATTAAATAAATATTTATTTAGAGTAAAATGGATTTTTTTCCAAGTGGATAAGTACCTCACTTGTAATAAAACATGTACGTTATAGTCCGTTCTCTGCAGTTTTAATTGGCTATATACTTAGCTATAATATTATAAATAAGTTTCTACTAAAATATTTACCTTTGAAAAACCGTTCTGGCATTCTAGTAACATAAATCAGAAACGCTAATCCGGAAATAAGGTACATGTTTAAAATTCTTGATAACAATTTCTGAAAAATAAAATAAACAAGATTCATTATTTATATTTTCGACAAAATTAAATAATTGTTTTTTATCTCGTTACAACCTATAACCAATGAATGGTCAGTAGGTAATTTAATGATACTGGACATAAACACAAATAAATTATAAATAATAATTTACACTAGATGAACCCGAATTCGAATAATTACGATTTTTACATTGGTAATTGATACTTAATAGGTATATAACATAAGACTACTTAGGAAACTCATATACATATATTTAACTAAATTACTAATTGTTAATTCAATCAAAGTTAAAGTTGTATATTTTCGTGTCACTTATAAGTTCTTTTTGGAATTTAAAAATACAATTTTAAATTTATCGACCATGTTCTCAAACTTAAATTTAATAGTTTAAACGTGCAAATAAATTTATTTTTAATGCTGAAAATGAGCTACCTACCTATTAATTTGAAATATATTTAAAAACTCATGAGAAATAAATAATTATCTAGATAGGTACAATAATCATAATTTACAAAAAACAAGAATATCTAATTGCGTTGCCTACATAGATTTCAACAACGAGTCCCAATTTCACTAGTTCTTTCAGTTCCTTCAGTGCTAATATAATAAAAAGTATAAAATAGTATAAAACACCTATATGCTTATATTTGAGGTTTCTAACATATTATGTAGAATTGCAATGTGTAATAATAATAATATTTTTCTTTATTACGGAAATAATTTCCAATTATAGCCTTTTTTTTTTTGTAGAATAATATGTATATAATATTATATTATAGACGTACATTATAAGTAATTTATATATAACAATAATAATATAAATAATAATAATATATTATGTTTAATTATTAATATAATTTTTTTTTTTTTGAAAGTTTAAATGATTAATACAATAATGTATATGCGTAAGTTAATCAATCGAATTTTAATTCAAGATAATTATAAATCACTTGTAACTTTGAAAATAATTGACACCTATAATAGAGTATAGATGGCTGAAAATTCAATAATTAATATTCCTTAAACTGTAGTTGAATAAAGCTTTAACTTGATGCTATATTCATTTGGATATTTATAAGGATTAGTTTTTAGATTTATTCAAATTTTTTATATGCAGGGTAAGTTTGAAACAATATACGTGTTCTACATTTTTCTATACGCATTAATGCATTATTAATAAGAGTTTCAATATGTTTTTTCATAAATTATTCATAGCATTAACTATATTGCTGTGTGTACGGTTGTGTTCGACATAATATGCTTTAACAATAGTAATTAAAATTTAATAAAATGCATTAAGAACTTATCTAGGAATCACAAATTTTTTTGTTCATTTCGTTTGTAAGAATACTGAAATATTATTTACTATAGTTAGTACATAAATAATATAGCACAGATATTTTCACAACATGATAATATTATAATAATAATTTACATTATACATTTATACGTACTTTTGGTTAAGTACCTATATCATATTATATCCAACAAAAACGTAGGTAGGTAACCAAACATTTATATAAATATACTAGCTGATCCCGTGCACTTCGTTGCTCGTTAAATGTACTAACTCTATATGACTCAAACTTTGTTCAGTTCGTTATTTAATATTCAGTGTATGGTGTTCAAAATGTATCTTAACTTTTCCGTTACCAGGAATAAAAATTCTGATTTGCAGCAGTTTGTACGTAAGTGTATGATTTAACTCTAAACTATCAAAGTTGTACCAAGTTTGTCGTATTCCACCTATGGTGGATTAATATCATCAATTAATACAAAAAAACCAAATTTAACCATTTTTAAATTAGCCTGCCTTCTTCCCAGTGGTCTAATATACACACAAACATTCATTTATATAATATATATATATATATTGACAAAAATAATAATACAAATCAACAAACATGCCCGATTAACCAATAGCAACCAATATACAATACACTGTTGCGGCACTATTGTATTTTTTACATCCAGATTTCCTACTTTTTCAGTGGATTCTCCTAAAATTTTCTTTCGTAAAAACCTTCTCCTGGCAATTACGTACATCTTAAAAAAATTTTGAGCCAAACGGACCAGCCGTTCTCGATTGATGATGTATAACGATATTTTCACGCTCCATTTTGATATATATATAGATTAACATAAATCTTAAAAAGCATCACTACCGCGAGCACGTATTTATATTAATATTATTAATGCAATTATTTAATTTTTAATTGAGATTGTTATTATTATTATTATTGACAGTGTAATATTAAATATACCATAATATAGCAATACTTACGGCCACTATTGGATTTTCCCATCCACCCATGATTATAACCCAGTGACACGTCGGTATCACTCCGTATGCTGCCCAACACACAAATGAGATCATTTTCAAATTATCACTTGCTTTCAGCTTTGGTAATTGCAATCCAATGACAGTTACAAATATAAAGAACACCGTGGATAAGTAAAACATTCGATGTACCTGTAAAATACACAATGTACCGCACTAGGTTTTAATTAATGTTTTTAAAGAATTAACTGTATATTATTACAAGCCGTCCAATGAGTGTAATGTGCATAATACTGAAATAAAATCGTTCACTTACGGGATGACACCAAAAAGCGTAATAAATTCCTGATAAGTAGATTCCCAACAAGCTCAACGCTATGCCGAACAAGTCAAAAGATAAAAAACAGTTGAAATGTTTTTCGGATTTGCACGAAAACGTGTGGTACATAGTCGACGATGCCATGCTAATCTAAAAATACGATAAAAATTACATAGGTAAGTATATATTATTTAATTGAAACACGTGTATAATAGTACAAACGATGATATTATAAACTATTTTAGGTATACCTATAGTATAAAATCTATGATCTTTAAATATCAGTGACATTAATAACATATTACATGACATTAAATTCAAATATACATAAGACTGCAAAAGAGATTTTAAAATATTATATAATACATTAAAAGTTTTTTATCTGCAACTCGAGACGCTCACTTACTCGGTTACCCGATGGCCGATATAAACATATATATATATATATATATATATACCTATACTCTCTCCCTCGGACAGTAAATCGAAAACATCACTTTATTACTTAATTTACAATGATCATCAAAGAAAATGTTCTGTTCAACGAAATACTTTTGAGAACCACATACTAAATTAGAACCAAATTTAGATTCAACAACATTTTTTTTTTGCCCGTAAGACTTCGTAATATACTAACAATAGGAAGTTCCATGTACTTAAATGATTATTTGGATAACATTTCATTCGAATGATAACTCTCTACTCTGGTTGTAAATACCTGAAAACATCCGAGTAGTAGACCCACGACAAGCTTATCGAACGGTGAAGCGTGAATATTCAACAGTAACAAGTCATAAATTGTTAATCCAAAAAACAGCATCCAACCAAATACATGTGACCAAATATTTATGGTTTCATTAGTCAGCCAAAAAGCGCTAAAAGAAAAAGGTAACAAACTACCAATTAGTACTCATTTTTTATTTTTTTATTAATACAACCAATAAAATACAAATGAATTAAATAATACTTTTTTAAGTTTGTCCTTGTGTGATCGTTAATGCATTATTATAACTTGATAACTACTTATTTTATTTTAGAATGGATGACTTTATGTTTTTCTATAACAGTTAAGCAGCTAATCTGTTTTTTTTTTTGCTATTATGATTACAACTAAATTAATATCCGAAGCTTGAGGAGCATCATCATTCAAAATGACACAAGTTAATGAAGGTCATTGTCATTTTTTATTGACAATTTCAATGATCTGCACATTGTCAAACATTACATCGAAGGTTAGAATAGTATGTATTCAAATTTAATTTTTATAATATATTATACATAATTATAATTATTTTTATCGACAAATGTTGTTAAATTGAGATATAATATTATTTCCTTTAATTATTTAATCATATGAACGAAATCCATATTGAATTATAGTTCACTTAGTTTGGAAGTCCTTAAATTCTAAGCACTGTATTCCATTCAAAGATGGAAAAAAATGTGTTTTAAAATTATTTATTACTCTGTAGTATAAGCTTCTATTTAGTTAAAATATAATTAACATAGTTGTACATAACATTACTTTTTTGTAATACTGTGGATGTGAAATATAAACTTTATTAGTTTGTTGGCTGAATATTTTATTTAAACATTTCAATAAGCTCAGCTAATGGTTAAAATTAAATTCTAACAACTTTTTCATAAAATTATTTTAGATGCAACGATTTGGTTTTATCATTTGAAAACCTTCATTTTTAACGATTCATTTTTTTCCCTTAAATTGAAGTGTTTTTATAATGCTTAATAAATTACAAGGTAATTCAATCAGATGGCATTGTGAAAAAATTATCTTTAAATTGACTATATATTTTTATTTCGATATGATCGAACCTAATTTTATGTACTTATATTATATTTTAATAATGTAATTATGATAATTAGTTATGCAATTAAATATAAATTACTAATATGGAAAATACATAAAAAATTAGCATACCTCTCTATACACATTTTTGTCGATAGACTCGCTCTATAGCCGGATGTAATATATGGATTGGATTGTAAATGTGGTTCAACTTCATGGAATTGCAGTAACGATAATTCCTTTACACTCCTCGACAACAACGAATCTTTTGATTTCTTTAAGAATTCTTTGTGGTCCTAAAAAAAAGTACATAATATTATAATCACCGTAGAGGTTTTATAAACAATATATATCTTCATATAATCATTTAAATGTGGATAATTATAATACATATTAAACACGTGTACATGTAATTGACCACCTATTTAGTACCCATATAATATCTGTAATAAATAACAGAAAAAAATTAGAAGTTTCATTTATTCACTGTTGTAAATATTGCGATATAATGTAATTTTATAACAAATGTTTTATTACAAATATTAAATTGTGTAGGTATACCGAGTATACTATTTTTATTAAATATTTATTCAAATAAGTAATAACAGATCAAAATAATATTATATTAGTATGTGATTTTTATGATGCAATTAAACTATTTAAAATTTAAATTTATCAATGATTAGATTTTAATAATATATGTACAAAGCGTGTACATTGTATTGATTGCAATAATAGTCAATACATTTAGATGTTTTAATTTATAATTCGATATAGATATATAGTAATACTAAGTAATATATAATAAGCCTAACACCTATTATAATTTATAGTTATACTCAAGTTATTATATAGGTACCTCTTTAGATATGTCATACTATACCTCGAATAGTTATGTATTATCTTTCGGGACTATAAATGATATTATAATACAATTAACTTCAATTATTGTTTATAGCTACCTAGTACCTACCTACTTAATGTAAAAACTTTCTTTTTCATCTATAATTTGGATTTGGCCAGTTATTATTAATAAGGCTATTATTGCTGTGATAATTTTATAATTTTTTCATATGTATGTACCTATACGCTCGCAGAAGTGGTGTGATTAGAAATTAGAATTAGAAAGGGGGATTTTTTTTTGAAATTTGCTTGTAGTTTATGTGTAATGAAATATAAATCATGTATTGGTATTTGGTACAATGGTACCTGCATATACCTTATATTACTATATTTAAAAACAAGCTTACGATAAAACTTCTAATAATATGTTAACAATTTTAAGGTAATACGATTTTTTAAAAATATTATAATATTATTGGTTTAAATTAATTTTCTCATTTAAAATGTCGATTTAAAAATGAACTAAAATTTATTTCATTTTTTTCATTTAAGAGGTCTGGAGACAATATCTGAATATCCCTTATTGCATCGTATGTTTGTTTTAACACTTTGTACATTTTTAACATTATTTGAATAGATTCATTTAAAATTTTGAATGCTGTTTTTTACTGGCTGGTTTCAGGTATTGTTATCCAAAATCGACCAGAAAATGTTCGGAGTGGAATTTGCACTCGCCCAAGCACGCTCACTCCCCTTTCATGCTTTAATATTACATCGATTAAATTAGTGATTTTTGGAATTTCTAAGTAAGTATAGTGTATATTTTAAGGACCATAGTATTATATAATTTTACAACACTGAGATTTAAATACTTAATATTATACTGTATCACGGCGGACATTTCGAAGAGGCGTTTTGCCGTGTCGGCGACCACCTGCAAATTCGCCGACAATAAGGAAATATTATAATTAGCCCGCGTGAGTTTTTAACACTCGGGCTACAACGAAGTTGTAAAGGGGAATAAAATTATGTTTAAAATCACTTGAACTTGACATTAGTGCGATAATCGTACAATCGTCACCGGGTCGTCAAAGACCGTGCTGCTATATAGCAGTGTTTGTGTTTCCCATTATTCGTACGCCGCTAATTTGTATGGCGCGGACACGTCGAAATGGCACAAGGTGTTTAAAATTCTCCGGTCATTTCCGTGTGCCCATAATATATTATATGTACTTCTGATGTTGTTATTGTTATAATAAATATCGTATTGTAACAACGTCGTCCGGCATAAGGTCGCACGCATAGTATCACGCAAACTCGTTAATTGAATTTTTCGCGAACACCCAACGCACTGTTAACATGATAATAATAATATGATGCATGCGCACACACCGTATTTATTATATTATGCCTGTCTGGCTACACCTATGCCATATTATAATAGTGTATACACCTATGACTATTAGGTATAATTATTACAATTGTACACCTATTATGTGGTACTCATAACCTATGTGGTATAATTTAACCCCGAGACGAGACGATAGAGCGTGTGGTCGTTCGGCAGGCGTTTTTTTGCGTTTGGTGGACATTTTTGTGACGACGGCTTATTAGGTTTTACTTTTAAATTGATTTTATTAGTATAAAATATTACTAGTTGTATAATATATTACTACGTAAATACGAGTATAATCACATGTACCTACACCTAATCTATTATTTAAAAAATAAAAATAAATGCGGTAACTATACGGCAGCGCAGTTGTAGCGTCTTATTATTAGGTACCTATAATAACTATACACCGTTTCGAATCGAGCGAAATGTCATATTATTATTATTGTAAATATTTTTAATAAAAAATATCAACGACACGCACAACAACGGCCGAGAGAGACGTATTATAATTTATATAGTACACCTATACCTATACCTGGTAACATTATTATTATACGTTGCGCAGTACTTGAGAAACACGCGTAGTTCTAGGTATAATATAATTATGTAGGCGTATATTGGAACAGTATAAACTAGTAAACACTGTGAATAAAATCGAGTCGCAAATATATAATAACATTCGGCAGATACGGATTTAGTATTATTTTGTAAACATCTGTTGGTTTTAAAACGAAATAAAACCTGTACACTAATTATTTAAGACCTGCAGAACTAGTGCGTTACTACAGGTTTTTTGGTTTTTTTTTTTTAATGGGTGGTGGAGAGGAGTGTCCTTTCAAAGAATTTACCTTTATTACATTATACGTAAATTATTTTCTTTTATTATATACAGCGGTTGGAATTTGAAATATATCGCGTTTTGATTAATATGCGATTTAATCAATAAAAAGAAAAATCAAGTATATTATTATCAATTTCTGTACCCTACATGGCTATATAGGTATTGCCAATAAGTATATTTTACTTATTTTTTATTCACTGCGTGCCAAGAGACCCAGACGCAACCACTACCGTGTCCCGCTGAATTATCTGCGAGTTGTATGTAATTTATAGGGGCGGTCATCGTTTCCGCCAAAAAACTCGATTTTCGTTTCCGCCAATTATAAAACGAAAAAGGTTTGATTTTCATTTCCGCCAAATCCATTTCTATCTACCTGTCTAAATTATAGTTTGAGAACCATTTAGAGTTACCCAGGGGCCACCACGAGGAGGTGGTTCTCATTGACCCCCAAAATTTATTTAACTTAATTTTTGGATTTAAGTTAAAAATTTGAATTTGAATTAAATTAAGTCAATTTCTTAATATATCTAGTAGTAGTTCTATACTTCTACATAATTAATTATTAATTATTATTTTGAATAATTATTGCATACCTTTTTTAAAAATGTCATTCTTGAAATTGTTTTACTTTTGTATTCGTTTATTGCGTTTGTTGTTTTTATTACTCGTTTTTTTACGTTACATCTTACAGGTTTTTGCATACCTAAGTTGCAACTGTTAATTTGAATGTACACGTTGTTTTGAACATTCGAGATTAAAATTTTTAAAAATGTATTAATATTTGGATGTGATTTATAAAATGTGCGTGGAAAGATTCACAATTATTTGTTGTTCTGGATATACTTGCACTAAAATTGGACCATATTGTTGGCGGAAACACACTATTTTCTGAGATATAATTGTCAGTTAAATAATCAGCATATTTATAGTATGCTGACTCTTCTGGTATTATAGACATAAAATCGTTGACAAATGAATCTGAAACTTCTTGAGGATCTAAAAATGTTAATCCGAATGTAGTCCTTAACCATCCGTTTTCTTTATATTCTGAACTAAGTCCTAACTCTTGAATTTTACGATACCACGCTTGTGTTAAATGAAAACGGCACCCAATAAGATTAGTTGAAGGCCAAATAGATAATACAGCATTATGAATACTAATCTCGAAATCGACCGTTATATTTTTTGGGTCAAAAGTCAAATTTTTTTCATAACATTTAGTTTGAATATATTTAAAAGCTTGTGTATAAGTTTCAGAGTTTTTATTCTTCAATAAACAAAAAACAAGAGGTACGTAAAAATTGTACGACAGATTTGTACGAAAAATTAAATTTGAACCCATCAATCACAATCATTTTTTTACCACGTTTACTCGTTATGAATTCCATAATATTCCAATATATTATTCAATAATTAATAAACGTATATTATATTCACGATTCACGTGGACTCCTAATTTCGTCGTTGTTACCACAGTACTCACAGATCCAATCACAGAACTCCGATCCCGATACACAGTCACTGCTGATATATCTACACGTGATATAGATTAAATCGATTTATATTTATTTGTAATATTATGTAGGTATTTCTACGTTTAAAATCAATTATCTCTTTATGATATCTTCAATATACAATGGCTTATCGACATGGTATATGTACATCGATGGTCGATAGCACTACAGACAGACTAGGGGTTCTCAAACTCCAGCTCAATAATATAGGTAGAAATAGATTTGGCGGAAATGAAAATCAAACCTTTTTCGTTTTGGCGGAAACAATAATTGGCGGAAACGAAAATCGAGTTTTTTGGCGGAAACGACTGACGCCCATTTATAGTATCTGAATAATTATTGTATACCTAAATACCAGATGTAATTTTACAAATTCGTTATTTTGTCAATATTTATCATATAATATACTCTCCTGGCCTCACGTATTTACAAAAATATTATCGTACAGCAATATTATAGTAACTTAAACAACTCGAAGTCGTACAATAATAATATAATTATCACGCCTTACAGCTGTTTTATCCGTCTTCGGCTGCTCGATGAAGTGCGTCGTAGCCTAATACAAGATGGACAACAGGAAATGACGTACCCACATAATATATAATATAATATATATGATATCTTAATAATCATACAGTCAAGCCTCGATAACTAGAATTTTTTCACGACCCCCGAAGTGTTATTCAGGTATAATCACAGTAT